TCCACTGTGACATTTTAGGTCTCCTGGAATCAGTGTCATTTCAGAGCCAGGGTTCAGCAATCCCCAAAAAGTCTGATTATGCTCTTTCCCCCAGTGCAGTCACCGTAATAAAAGACCATAGATCTCTTTGGGGAAAGCCTGGGAGAAAGATGGACATTATAAAAATCTGTTAGTGTAGCAGAGCCCTTTCTCAAGGGGACCCTGCCTTCCCTTTTCTCAAGGGGCTCTGGGTCTTTAAAGTGGCTCAAGTCTGGGAACTGATTAAGGGGCCACCACTTTCTGTTTTTATGATTCAAGTTACACTTCTATTCACTTGACCTAGAACTCTTTTTCTGCTTGTACAGGTAAGAACTTAGTAGACTGGCTATTGCACTTCCAGGAGCACCATGTTCAATTCGCCAATTCCACAGGTCTCTGTGGGTCAGACTATTCTGATTACTGCTTTGACTCTGCAGTCCATTATACTAATTACATCCGGTGCCTTATGGTAATTAAGTGCTGCCGCCCAGCCTCTGCTGGCCTCCCTACAGATTTGGGATCCGCCAGCCTCTCCATAATTGCATAAGCCAATTCCTAAAAATAAATTTCCATCTTTCTCTCTCTGTATATGTAGCATAGATAGATATATATAATACACTTTCCAGAGAAACAGATCTATCTATCTATCTATCTATCTATCTATCTATCTATCTATCTATCTAACTTTATAGTTCTGTTTGCTCCAGAGGAAAATATTTATGTAGTTCCTTCTCTGGAAAACCCTAATACAAGAAAAGCATAGAAGGGAGGATGGACATTTATTAAGCAAAAATGGTCTAGTTTTCTAAGAATTAAGATAAAAAAGGACTTGATGAAACTATAAATCTGAGAGTTTAGAAACCATTTTTTTTTTTTTTTTTTTGCTTCCTGGGTTTTGTTCAGCCACATTCTCAGATTTTGCTGGAGACAGCACCTAGTCGTTGAAAATAGTGCAACCAACGAACCCTAATGTTGTATAAATATGCATGTAAGAACTCAAATTGGTAGGCGAATCCAAATCTTTTCAGAAATTAAAAATTACATATTTTTTTAAAAAATGATGAATTAAAATAAGCATAAGCAGATACAATCAAGGCAAGCTGGGCCAGCACAAGGAGGTGAGGACTTACATTGTTTTGCTTTGTCCTCGTCCACGTTGGCATCGTAGACAGCCTGCTGTATCTCATCCAGCCAAAGAATTTTAGAAGCAGGGTCCTGGGAATATTGTCAGAGATAAAAGAAAGAACAGTGAATGATGATTAAATAGAATTAATAACTGCTTTTAAGGAGCCATTTTATTATAATTTCCATAAGCTCTTATTTACCAACTACCAAGTTCTGCTGTATCCTCCAAAAGCTACTAATGAAATAGACCCCCCCGCCCCCATACAACCACTTCTCCCTTCTCCCCTGCCGTCCCTTTAGTCCAGCCCACCAGCAACTCTCGGGGAACAGCTGCACTGGTGGTCTACTTGCTTTTGTTGCTTTCAGGTTTGCTGTCTATCACAGTGTCTTTTCAGAGAACCAGATCATCTCTTCAAAATGGACATCTCATTACCCCACTCTTTGGCTTAAACATCTCCAAAGACTTTCCCCTGAAGTTGGGAAGAAACAAAACTCCCTTCCTATGGACTGTGGGGATCTAATGATCTGGCCTCCCCTCACACTGCTCTACGCCCTGTAGATCATCAGGCCTTAATTCAACTGCCACCTCCTCCAAAAAAGACGTCTCTGGCTACCCTTGCCAAATACTCTCTCTTCCAGTTGCTCAGTAACTGTGGTTCCCAAGGTGGCCCAGAGTGCCTGAGATACTTTAAATTTGAGGGAAACTCAATGACACCAACATTTATCAGATAAAGACAAAAATAAAAACAAAAAATAAAAAACATAGTGATTGTCCTCAAGGAGCTAAGTTTAGTAGAAGAGACAGATATAAAAAAATATATAATGCAATGTGATTAGGGCATTAGCTGTAGTAACACAATCTAGAAATAACCAAGATGGGATTAACTTATAGTCAGTCGGGGGGTTGAGTTACTCGGGGAGAAAAGACTAAGAATAGTTTCAAAAAGGAAGTGATAGCAGCAATGAAAGGTATGAATTATCTTCAGTATTTTTTAATGTGTAGGGTTGATTCTTATAATCTTGCTACAAATGTAGACAGCAACTGCATTTTATATAAACTTGTTCAGGATTACAAGTAAATTTTTTTGATCAATAGAAATGAAATATTTTTGGGGAGGATGAGATATTCCATTTAAAATAATGGGAACCTTTGACTATGTGTAGAAACAGGCGTCATGTACTAAATCCTAAAACAACACTGATGAAGAGACGGTAGCTTACTGGAGCCATGGAGAACAAGCTTCTTCAATTAGGACTCGAAATGGATGGGAAGGAGGAAGGAGAAATAACATTCACCAGCTCCTCTGGCAGACTTCAACCCTGCTTCCCCCAGACACTAACATAGATAATGGATGTGGGAGAGATTCTGAAAACGAAACAAAATATTTTAATCTAATCCTGTAATATCTGGGCTAACGGAGACCACTGCGGGAGGGAGGGTGCCTGCTCACCCCGTCATCTCCAGCTAGATCTGCCATGTGACAACTGTCAGCTATCAGTGAGATTTTCCCCTTCTTGGCAGAATGAATGGAGAAGATTCAAACATGAAATAAGGTTGGAAAGTGAAGACTAAAGGAGGAATAAAGAGACAGGGGAACAAGAACAATTTTGTTTTTCTGTTTCCAAGACCAAAGAGAACCCACAGCCACAAGGTACAGACTAAAAACAAAGCTAGGTACAAATTCACTGATGTATGTCTCAGCTCTTTGTGGGTATCTACCAGATTCCTTCATAAGTTATCACTGTAACAGATGCACCATACAAACTTTTACCCAGATGAAAAGGAAATTACAATCCCACTTCAAAGCTGATGGTATTTATTGTAAACAGCTATATAGAAGAGAGACTTTGGAAGTGAAGTGAATTCAAGTCAGCAGTTGAAATCGGGACTCCTTGAAGTAAAGGTTGCTAGAGTTAAATGCAAAACCAAGAGTAAAAACCAAATCCTACCAATGTAACGTCCCCTTTTCAATTGCTCTTTTGAAGACTGGAAATATAATTACAGGATGGTCATGGCTCTACCTCCAGCTAAACAGCCAGGTTCCACACAGGAGTCACAAATAAATTAAGTGAACGGAAACTAGACCACTTGCAAATCAAGTCATAAATTCCTGACTTTAGGTGACTCCCAGAAAATTTTAAACAAAAAAGTACTCTCTCTTCAGTATTTTGTGGGGTTTTTGTTTATTATTTCTACAATAAAATAGCACTCAGCATGTGTTACCATATGCTATGTAGTTGAAGTATTAAAGACTGACTTTTGATTGTTAAACTTGGTGTGGTGAAATTTAATCAAGATGTGAAAAGTTTGGTCCTAGCCTGGTGGCTCAGTTAGTCATGCACCGAAAGGTTGCTGGTTCAATTCCTGGTCAGGGCACATGCCTGATTTGTGGGCTTAATCCATTGTAGGGGGCATGCAGGAGGCAACCGATTGATGTTTCCCTCTCACATTGATGTTTCTCTCTCTCTCCCTTTCCCTTTCTCTCTCTCTCAAAATCAATTTTAAAAAAACTTTAAAGATGTGAAAAGTTTGTACAGATCAATTTCTTTCTAGCTTATCCTTCAAGCCTTTAAGTCTCATGTGAAATTTGCACTTTAGGATTCTTGCTATATTATATAGGCAACAGCTGTTGGGCTGTCTGGCTTAGCATTTAACCTTAATTTTTGTTAATTATAGGAAAATGTTATAAGGCAGTATTTTTTCTACATATTAAATCATATCCTCCATATATAAAACATATAACATATTTTTAAAAAAAGCGTATATGTTATACAACAATGTGAATGTACTTTACTGAGTTGTATTAATAGTGTGTTGACACTTAAATAATGGTTAAGATGGTAAATTTTATGTTATGTATATTTTATTACAATTTTAAAAAAAGCTTATTGTAGACTAGCTCACCAACACCCATGGAATAAAGGGAGTTCTCTGCATTTCAATGTTGAATTATGATTTTAGTTTAATCAAATAGTGCTGTTTGACCCCCAGCCTCCCTTCTGCATTATTCAACCCTATTGAATGGCTCAGAACATGATGAGCTATGGCAAAAGTTGTGGCCAAGCACTGATGACAAATTCAGGCCAATGTGACATTGATAAAAAAATTTCAGAATAATCAAGCACTTAATCAGTTTTAACTTCATAAAATATGTTTGCTTTCCGCCCTGGCTGAGTGGCGGTTAGAGTGTCGGCCTGCAAACCAAAGAGTCCCGGGTTCGATTCCAGCCAAGGGCATGTACCTCGATTGTTGTTCATCCCCAGCCCCAGTTGAGGTCATGTGGGTGGCAATCAATCGATGTGTCTCTCTCACATCGATGTTTCTCTCTCTCTCTCCCTCCCACTCTGTCTGAAGATAAATGTAAACATATCCACTGGTGAGGATTTAAAAAAAAGCTTGCTTTCCATAATTAATTTAATTTGTAGTTATGTAATGAGTTTACGAATTAAGATTTGAAATAGGTGGGAAGATGAAGACAAGAATACTTTCTGATAGCTAATTATTAAGTAGAAAGCACACTCTGGGACCCCATTCTTATACTGGATAAAATGAGATATGGGACGGAGTCAAAACTAACTGCTGGTCAGCATGTATTTCCAGCTAACTTCTGTAAAGGACTGTACACTATCTGCATTCTTTCAACGCACATGAGTATGTGAGAGGGATTGATAGCTCCTATTCAGAAGGGACTGTCAGGGGTGGGTAAGAGTTAAGTGACTTTTTCCGGGGATAATGCAATGTGCTCAGAGGCCCCGTCTGAGTCATGCACGCTGAAACACGAGTGCCGTCACGCCCTTTCCCTGAAGAGGACCTGGGCAGCTTCCTGCCTGCAGAGCACAGCTCCATGGAGGACGAGGCTTCTGTCTGCTGTTAACACATGGGGCGGCAGTGAAAACGGGCTCCCTAAATTTATATATTTGGTAACATTTGAGAAACGGGACTCCGGTCATCACCATGAAAGCTCTCATCTTTGCAGCTGTTGGAGTCATGCTTCTGTCGCCCACTTTTTGTCAAAGTGGTAAGTTCTTTTCTTACGGGGCAGGATGGGGGTGCTGGGTAGTGTTATGAGAATCAACAGAATTAAATTTTCTTTGTATTTCATACAGACTGCATCCCAAAGGGCAGAGTTTGATCTTAGCTATTAAAAGGTGGCGTCCTGGAAAGGAAAGGCAATAGTTCCTTCTCTCTATTCAAACCCTGTCAAAGACTTACATGTTCTCTACTTGGGTTTAAACAAACTGTGGCATAGTCAAGATTTTTAGATCTTTATAATTAATTCAAGAGTCAATTTTTTTTTTGTGAGAGGTTTCTGATTTTCTAAGCATTTCTTCTGATTCAGCAAAGATAGTACTTTTTAAAGAGATTTTTAAAAATCCTATGTTTAGCCCTGGCCGGTTTGGCTCAGCGGTTAGAGCGTCGGCCTGCGGTCCTGAGAGACCCGGGTTCGGTTCCCGCTAAGGGCATGTACCTCGGTTGCAGTTTGTCCCCGGCCCTGGTCGGTTGTGCGGGTGGCAGCCACTCGATGTGTCCCTTTCACATCGATGTTTCTCTCTCTCTTCCTCTCTCTCCCCCCCACTCTACCTGAACAAAAAATGGAAAAATGTCCTCGGGTGAGGATAAAAAAAAAAAAAAAAAAATCCTATGTTTATATCTGCTGGTGAGGCATAAAGGGAGAAAACAAGAATATTCTCAGAGAGATCAAGAGGTCTGTTTCAATAATCAATGATGCTAATAAATTAGTATTAATTCATTGACACTAATAAAAAGGTATTCTTAATAGAATACCTTTTTTTTTTTTTACTTTCAATGGTACGAAAGAATTAGTTTTCCCTACCCTCATGTATGATTTTTAAATTTCTGAAATGAAAATACTCCCAAATACAATTACTCAGCTCTTAATGTTTTCCTATTCTACACAACACAGCGTTAGCCTGAAACTTCCTGCTTGCTCCCAAATTAACCAATTTGGGATCGATCTACAATCTCCAACTCTTACCGTTAGGTCCCACTCCAGTTAAAATTTCATTGTTAGGAGTGGGAGGGCTGGGCAAAGGGACAACAACACAGGGGTGGGAGGGATCCAAAATTAAACAAAATCCCCAAGCCTCTGTAAAGAAGCGGTGCTAAAATTCAGAGCTGGGAGCACTGAGGTGGTTGTGGGGAGCACTGAGAACCAGCGGGTGGGACTTATGAACAGGATTAAGTAACTGCTATTTCTGGGAGTGGATGAACCAAAATGCAGTGGAATAGTAAAAGAAATGAGGCTTGTAGAGGTGGTTCCTTCCAGATGCTGGTGGGGTTCGGAGGATGTGAAGAGGGGAAGGATTCAGAGGCGGCAAAGTAAAAGGCAGTGAATTTGCGTTCTTCAATCGGGTGGCGCAGGTCCGCCTCCTTTGGACCAGTGCCTCCCTAAGGCATTTTCCTGGGCTGGAAAACATTTTAGATTCATTATGCTAAATGGAAACCTGTATAAAGAACTCAATAAATTTAAAAAATATTGGCCCTGGTCCAGTAGCTCTGTTGGTTGGCGTGTCATCCCGATATGCCAAGATTGCGGGTTTGATGCCAGGTCAGGGCACAGGCAAGAATGAACCAATGAACGCATAAATAAGCAGAATGACAAATAAATGTTTCTCCCTCTCTCCCCACCCCACCTCTTCCTCCTTCTCTTTACAATCAATAAAAACAAAATTAATAGTACTATTCTTAAGAAAAGCCTGGCTCTAGAGACTAAAAGACTTATTCAAACTGAATCAGATCTGCTGGAATTCTCATGGAAAATGGAATCAGGACTTTTTCAGAGTCAGTGTTAAGCATGTTTTTTTCGCATGATGTCTTGCTCAATCACAGGAATTTTCTGAAAACTGACAAACACTTGGTTTCAATAGCTCCCTTATCAGATCCGAAAGGAAAGAATTCGTATGGCCTGTTCTTCAGCCACCATTCGCCAGCTCCGTGCGGATGCAGAAAGGCACTTCTGTTTGGGTGACGTCAGGTCCCAGCATTTTCCAAAATGCAAAACTGAGCAAAAGGATTTGCGTGGCTAAACCCGTGTCACACGACATGTTTCAACACGCCTCAGATTCACATCTGAACACAGGCTCAAACCATCACTACTTCCAGATTTTTCTTTCCTTTTCTTTAATCCATCTTCCCCTCAATAGCACCCAAGCACCTCCCTGCCCTCGTTTGTCAGGCAAAACTCTCCCTTTTTGTTACACACTGAATTCGGTTTGTGCAACCTCAGGGTCATGAGGGAGGCTCCAGCTTCTCCTGGGGCGATCTGGTAGAGATGAAAACAGGAAGAGAATCTGGCTTTGGATTTGAACCAGGTCAAATCAGGATTTGAACACTAACTTCAGATACTCAACATGTAGGGATTGAGAGTCTTGTGAGAAGGAACTGGCAGAGAAACGGCATTTTAAATAGGTAAGTATGGAGTTTAAATTCAGCCTAAAAGTTTGTCTTTAAGATAATAGAAATTTGAGAGAATCTACTTCCTATACATGTCAAAGATTAATTTATGGAAAATTATATAATGATAAATAGGTCTGAGTATAAATAAACAGGTTTATTTTGTTTTTGAAAATGCTCTTCTGAGAATTAGGATTATTAATAGCAACATGACATGTAATGCCAAATATTTATAATATGTAGTTGTGTTTCTATACTCCCCCCCATTTCGAACTTCTCAGATCACTATATTGATTTCATCTTCTGATGTTTCTTCCTTTGTCTCCTCCCCCCTTAAAATCTGGCATTTCCCCTAAAGTCTGCCTTTGGATGTTTGTTTGTTTTTCTCACATCTCTCCCTAGGCTGTTCAACCACTCCTAGTAAATTAAACTACAGCCTCTATGCATACTAAAAAATCCATTCCCCTCATCTGGATTCCTGAAATTTAGGACTCCACAACTAAGTCCTCCTGCCTGTCCTGGGACATTTTACACTCTGATATCCCACCAGCAACTCCAACTCAGGAGTACTCAAAACAGAGCTTAGCTTCTCTTTGTGCTGTCCCTGGTCCGCTGCACTGTCCTCCTCCTCCCAGTCATCTAGAGCAGAAACACACAAGTCATGTTCACCTCCTGCCTCTCCCGCCTGCCTCCAGAGCCAGATGCCAAGTCCCTGTGATCCTCCGTCACAGGCGCGTGTTCACCTCCACCTTTCCACGGCCACTGCTCTAGTTCTGTAACTCGCCGTCTTGAGTTTAAATGATTACAATAGACTCCAAATCAGCCTCCCTTTGCCTCCAATTTCTTACCTCTTCAGTCTATTCTCTAGTGTCACCAAGGTCATCTTAAACAGAAGACAAATCATGGTTATATTAGTCTCCTATTGCTGCTATAACAAGTCACCAGAAATTAGTGGCTTAAAATAAAACATTTATTATCTTATGTTTCTGGAGCTCACAAGTCCTAAAGTCAAGGTGATAGTAGGGCTGTGTTCATTCTGGAGGCTCTAGAGGAGAATCCGCTTTCTTGCCTTTTTCTAGAAGCTGTTTATATTCTTTGGTTTGTGGCTCCTTCTTCCGTCTTCAAAGCCAGTAGCACAGCATCTTCAAAGCTCTCTCTCTCTGACTGTGACTCTCTTGTCTCCCTATTATAAGGACTCTAATGGCTACAGTGGGCCACCCAGACAATCCAGGATCCTCTCCCCATCTCAAGATCCTTAATCACATCTGCAAAGTCCCTTCTGCCATGTGAGGTAACACACTCACAGGCTCCAGGCATTAGGAGGCAGAATCTTTGGGGTGCTGCTACTATGATGTCTACCACAACAGTCATCCCCCTGTTCATAATTTGTATGTGTACAGTTCCAGGATCAATCAATAGGCACATGATTCCTTAGGACAGTTTAGGGGCCCTTCAAAGATCTGGCTGTAACCTACTCTTTCAACTTCATCTCTCAGATGAACTTTATTAGCATAAAACAATGCATTTTTGTGTAACTTTCCCACTTGTCTGAGAGTTGAAGATAGGAATAAAGTTTATTTAAAACTATGTAATGAACATTTGTTGAATTAACTTATCTGACATTTCTAGATCCCATGATAGCCCACACCATGCCTCTTCCTATTCATCATCTATCAGAATTTTATTCCTGTTAAATTCCATCTCTTTGTGAACCTTGTTTATCTTTGCTTACCTTCATCTTTTCCTTGACATTTTGCTCAAACACCTAAATCTGTCAACTATTGTCTGAATACCTATAAAGTTTATAGTTAATATGACATTGGTCTACAGTGGTCTAATGTGCTATTTTGTTTCCTCCAACAGTATTATAAATTCCTTACATGCAAGAAGTTGTCATCTACTTTTTGCTCCTGCATTGGCTAGAATGGTGCTGGGGCGTCTGATATGCCTTTTGATCGCCTGCTCTATAATGATTTTGTGGAAACAAACATGACCCTAAATTTTACAACCACAGAAATTGTGTAGCATAATACATTTAGTTTTATTATTTTCTGAACCATAGCTATGGCTCAACAAAATATCATATGTTAATACTTCTTTTCAATTACAGGCATGGGAAATGATGCAGACAACTTGGCAGGGCCAACAATGACTATTAAGACCTTTCGTGGAGCTCCTTCAAATTCTTTTGAAGTGATCCCCGTCTCTGCCATAGAAGGCTGGACAGGAGCCACAACTGTAAAAATTAAGTGCCCTGAAGAAAGTGGTTCAAATCTCCTCGTGAATAATGCTACCATGGGGTATCTGAGCAGCTCCTTAAGTACCAAATTTATACCTGCCATCTACATCCTGGTGTTTGCAGTGGGTGTGCCAGCCAACGCAGTGACCTTGTGGAAACTCTTCTTCGGGACCAGATCCATCTGTATGACCATCTTCAATATCAACCTGGCCACTGCAGACTTACTTTTTTGTGCCACGCTGCCCTTTAAAATAGCTTACCATCTCAATGGGAACAACTGGGTATTTGGAGAGGTCATGTGCCGGGCCACCACAGTCATCTTTTATGGCAACATGTACTGCTCCATTCTGATTATTGCCTGCATCAGCATCAGCCGCTACCTAGCCGTTGTCCACCCTTTTACTTATCGGAGGCTGCCCAAGCGTACCTATGCCTCGATAACATGTGGGTTGGTGTGGGCAATGGTTTTCCTATACATGCTGCCATTGTTCATCCTGAAGCAGGAGTATTACCTTGTGCACAGAGACATCACCACCTGCCACGATGTCTACAACACATGCGAGTCTTCATCTCCTTTCCAACTCTACTACTTCATTTCCTTGGCGTTCTTTGGATTCCTAATTCCATTTGTGGTCATCATTTACTGCTACACAGCCATCATTCGGACACTTAATGCATACGATCAGAGGTGGCTGTGGTATGTGAAGATGAGTCTCCTCATTCTGGTGATTTTTACCATTTGCTTTGCTCCAAGCAATATTATACTCATTATTCACAATGCCAATCACTACTACAACACCGATGGCTTATACTTTATCTATCTCATAGCTCTGTGCCTTGGTAGTCTGAATAGTTGCTTAGATCCATTCCTTTATTTTCTCATGTCAAAAGTCACAGATCATTCCAAGGCTTATATTACAATAGTGAGATCATTGTAGAGAACAACATGGAAAGCTATTTGTGAAAACATACATTCTTGGGAATACATGTGCGTAAGTGCAAGGAGCCCGATTCTCTAGCTCCATTTTTGGAACTCCTAAGAGATAGTGCTTCAAAATAAAATAGTACAAAAATACTAGCTCTAAAAAACCCTGCTATCGTATTTTAAGAACATCAATGCAGGAGAAAAGTTATCATCACTCCCTTTATGGGAACTGGACACATTTGTCTGACTGGCACTTCAAGCTCTTTATCGCTCCATCTTCCCTACTCTATGAGCTTTCCACTCTAGATGACTTGAAGGAGAACAAGACAAGGGACAATAACTCAGCATGGGGAGAAGCTACTATCTCAGTTTTTTGTACATGATGTCATTTTTTATTCTTTTGTCTCTTTCCACTTTCATTCTGGTGGCTGCCTCATTAGCTGATTCGAGCTTTCTAAATATCTCTTACTAGGATCCATTATCTTTGCCTTCCAACCATTCTCTTCACTCCCAGCCTATCCTCCACTTCACAGGGCTACTGCCAGATTTTTCTTCCTCAAATATCAGTTTCAATACCTCACTCAACCCCCCCACCCCCACCCCCAGCTCACTGCAGCATTATTTGCAACAGTCAAGCTATGAAAGTAACTGAAGTGTCCCTCAATAAATGAGTGGATGAAAAAGCTGTGGTACATATATACAATGGAATATTACTTGGCTATGAAAAAGAACAAAATCTTACTGTTTGCAACAGCATGGACCCAGAGGGTATTATGTTCAGAGAAGTCAGAGAAAGATAAATACCATATGATTTCTCTTATATGTGGAATCTAAAGAATAAAATAAATGAACAAATAAAATGGAAACAGACTCATAGATACAGAGAAAGAACTGGTGGTTGCCAGATGGAAGGGGAGATTGGGGCACTAGATGAAAGAGGGGAAGGGACTAAGAACCACACTTTGGTAGTTACAGAATAGTCACGGGAATGTAAAGTACAGCATAGGGAATATAGTCAATAATGTTGTAATAACTATGTATGGTGCCAGGGGGTACTGGAAATATCAGGGGGAGTACTTTGTAAAGTGTGATTGTCTAACCAGTAAGCAACACATCCAAAACCAATAAAAAAAAAAAACCCAGAACAACAACAACAACAACATAGCTCAAAAGCCTCTAGTCTACAGCCTCTCCAATGCTTTGGAATAAATTATAAATCTTCAGTTTGGCATTCAGGGCTACCTTTTTAATTTTATTTCCCAATAAACCTTGCTGGTGACGTAGACATTAGTCAATCTTCCTGCTTAGATGTGATGTGATTTCTCCTCTTTTTGCCCCCGTCTTGTAACTGGAGAGCCATTTTCTAACACACGTGCCTTAATTATTTCTATCTCCGGAAGTTCTCAGAGGATCATTCTTCCCTGATTCTCCAGCTAGAAGTTCATCTTTCTCATCTGAACTTTCAAAGCATTTTATTGTATCTTCAGTATGGTACTTATATAGTTCATTTATATAGAAGTAGTAATTCCATAAACTCTTAGGCACCATGTATAGTAGAGAAGGGATTGTTCTCTCCCTTCTTTGTGCTTTTTGTGGCAATCCTGGCCCAGGTATTTTCAGGGTCTGTGGGGCCCAGCTCCGTGCTTTACATATCAATGGCTGAATGAAAGAATAAAATCCCAAAGTATCTTAACAGTATGAAAGCCCGTTGAATTCTGACTGAGAAAGCAAGGTATTCTGTATGACATGGGACAACACCATTTTGGTCTGGACATGTTAAAAAAAAAAGTAAGAAAGCTAAGCTATGAATATACTCAGTCATTTAGAAGTTTCAAATGCCTCCATTATTTTTGTTCCTTAAGCACAGATTTTTTTGTTGTTGTTGTTAATCCTCACCCGAGGATATTTTTCCATTGATTTTTCTTAGAGTAGAAGGGACGGAGGGGGAGAGAGAGACACCAACATCGATGTGAGAGACACATGGACTGGTTGCTTCCTGCACAACCCTGACTGCAGCTGGGAAATCAAACCTGCAACCCAGGTATGTGCCCTTGACCAGGAATCAAACCTGAAACCCTTCCATCCAAGGGTCAACGCTCTAACCGCTCAGTCAACCTGGCCAGCATTTTTAATGGGAAAATGATATTTTGTTATAAATGCCCAGTATCTTCCTGTAGGTAAATGACTACATTTCCCTTACTTTAGGAATTAGGCAGAAGGTAGGATATTAGTATTTAAGGGCATGAAAGATTGCTGACATGAGTTTTCATGTCCGTAAGAATGTGCACTGGCCTATACACTTTGTAGTAACCATCAAAACAAACAAAACATGCCCATGAAGACCCTTTACAGCATGTGTGGTCATGTGAAGAATAAAAATCAGGTAAATACTTCAAGCAAGCAAGTAAAACAAATCTAATATAAGTTTCAAGATGACAAAATTTAAATGGATGGAACTGAGTTTTGCAAATAAAGTCATCAACTGTAATACAGTTTTATCTATGGAAAACATGCAGTAATATCCCCTTGTTAAAAGCACACTTACTTTTTATGCAGTAAATTACATGTAGCAAAACAACTTTTGGTGGGGGTATAATTCATATGTTCTCAAGCAAAGCCCTCAATTTAAAAATAGCTCAAAAGCCTGTCCAGTGTGGCTCAGTGGTTGAGCATTGACCCATGCACAAAGAGGTCACTGGTTCGATTTCCAGTCAGGGCACATGCCCAGGTTGTGGGCCCGATCCCGTGTGGGGCATGCAGGAGGCAGCCAATCAGTGTTCTCTCTCATCGACGTTTTTCTCTCTCTTTCCTTCTCCCTTCCTCTCTCTCTAAAATCAATAAAGAAAAATATTTAAAAAATAAAATAAATATTAAAATAGCTCAAAATTCACTGTCTCCAGTGAACAAAGTGTGTCCTCTGCTAGGTGTTTGCCAACATGCCCATTGCCCAGATTTCCCCCGAGAGACCACAGGAATCTGATGCCTATGCAAGATTGTACTTGAAATACTGGTAACAAAGACCAAGAGTCCTCACCAGCTTCCATCACTGTCCTCAATCTTTGATAAAACTCAGCATCCATTCTTTGAAGACGTTATCATTGAGACCTTTAACAATATATACTTTATAAGCTTTATTTTATACTGTCAATAGCAGTAATATAATTTTCTTCTATTTTTTTCCATGGTTGGACCTCGGGAAGGTAAGGCACAGAAACACCACCATAAAACACAACTAGAAACTTCTGGCTACCAAAACAACAGTGGTTGAAAAAGAAATATAGAGACCCCACCAAATAAACAGAAATTGATCTCCCTCCTTCCCCAGAAAGTGACAGGCTGAGAAAAGAAAGTTTCAAAACTAAAGAGAAAGAAAACTGCTTAAAAATAGCAATTTAACCAAATCGGATTCACTGCTTGGAATTGTTTTAAATCTGTTAGCTGTTGTCAATCCAGTTCAAACCCCTACTTTCACTGTCCAGAAGTACTCTAGTGCCTGAGCTAGAACCCGGTTCCCCAGGCTCACATTTAACGCTCTAATTACACCATTAAAGCTACTGCTTGCACACTTAGGAAGGATGCCCCAAAGAGCTGGCACCTCATGATCACTCGCGGGAGGCTTCTGGGTGCCCTGGAGAGGGGCTGTGGGGTCCTGTCTTGATTTAGAGCCATCTCAGTGGAATGTTCGGGGGGGACCGCACTGCCCACCTATGAAACGTTTGCGGAGTCAGGCTCACAAGGACAAACCCCACGGGGCTGTGGGCAGGGGATTATCTTCTAACCCTGAGAGGCAGGTTCTACTATTCTCATTTCACACATGTGTAAACTGAAGCAGAGAGGATTTTGGTGACTTGACTAAAATCCCTAGCTAATTTTTGGCAAAGCCAACATTTGAATGGTGCCTTCTGTTTCCAAAGGGAACAACTTTTATCTTAAAACGGGGGTAAGTGTGCCCTGGGCCAGGGACACAGCTACATCAGTGGAAACAGCAGGAGGCAGCCCACACTTTCTGGTTGACAGGATCTACTCTCTTTCCCCTGAGATGTGGGAACCCAAGGCTTGGATTTGGGTCTCATTCTCCCTCTCACTGGACTGGCCTTCAACACAAGCCTCAGGTCCATTTACATCAGCTAAGAGAGCACCCATCCCCCACAGTTGCTGGGAGGCTCCAATGCAGATCTGCATGAGGGCGCCTGCGCAGGGAGGGGCGAAGCCACGCTGTGGCCATGCCAGGCAGAGGCTGACAGCACAGAAGGCCCCCACTCCAGGGAACAGCTGTCTTCACCCTGAATGAGGCAGTTTAGTCGTGTGGAGTGAACAGAATTTACATCGTCATCATCTTTTTTTTACTTTTAGTAAATTTTTCTTTATTACATTTTTTTTTGCATAAGTAATGCATGGCACAAAATTAAGAAATATTTCTTCTTCCTCCCTAGCCACTCAATGCTCTCCCCCAGGGGCAACCACTCTGCATGCTGTTGGAGACTAGATGATGGCAAAATATTTCTCATGATTTGAGATCAAGTTAGTTACTTTGAAGGGAACACCTGAATTGGAGCAGTCCTGTTCTAGAAACTAGACTAAGTACTGGGGGAATTGGCCCTTTGTGAGTTATCTTGTTTTTTGAAAGTTTAGAAACATTGAGTAATATATGCACTATGCAAAAATTTAAAAATCCAAAGGGTACAAAAACAGAAAAAAAGAAGTCTCACACTTTCTACCTAGTTCAACTTCCAGACAGTGTCCTTTTTCATAAATATTTTATGCACCTAAAAGCACACATATATATGGATGTGTACCCCATTTGTGTATGCATGTGGAAGCACACATACACTTAACATACATATTAAATATCATCCAATATATAACCATTCATTCTTTTTGATGTATTTCACTGTATGGACATACTGCTATGTAACCAACCACTCTTGATGGGCATTTCAGTTGTTTTTGGTCTTTTGCTAACAATGCTGTATGTAATACATACTCTTTTCCATCTGCCTTAATGCACAATAATATATGTTTCTGAGTCACACAGACTGGG